GCCGAGGCAGGAGGATCCCTGTGAGTTTGAGGCCACCCTGGGCTAGAGTGAGTTCAAGGTCACCCTGAACTACATAGTGAGACCCTTAGAGTCTCAAAAACTCAAAAAGAACAAATAACAGTGATACTCTGCAAAGGTAGGTAAATTTTTTTTTTTTTTTTTTTGGTAACAGGGATCAAACTTAGGACCTTGCATTCGCCAGGCAAGTGCTTATGCCACTGAGCTATCTCCCAGGTCCAGGTAAGTCAATTTTAAATACACGATTTAAAGCAAAAGCAGGTGGCAGCATTAGGGTCAGCACCCCACCCTCGCCCATGGAGTGTGCGTCAGAGGCTTGTCCCACTCACCCTTTTTTACACTTCTTGAATATTTTCCCAATCTTGTCTTGGGGGATGTCGTATTTGTCTGAGATCTAAAGCAGAAGGAAATAATTACAAAATCCTGTTTTTGTGACTTACACACACACACACATACAACACGCTTTTCCCAGATGCACCTGGAGACATAAACACTCACAATTCCTCGCTTTCTCTACTCTTTTCTCCCTGTGATCAAGGTTTTGTGCGGTCCTTAAGAAAAGGTGCCCGAAGCCAGGCGTGGTGGTGCGTGCCTGCCATTCTAGCACTCCGTAGGCTGAGGCCCCAAGGGGACTGGCTGCCGTACAAGTCCCACTTACAGCCTCGGTCAAGCCCTTCAGGGATGGAGTTTTGAGCATCAGGGCATCGAAGACTTCCTCTGCCTCCTTCCGCACATAGAGCAGCACTGGCCCGGCAAGCACAGGAGATGGGAAAGAAGGGAAGATACAGTTAAGTTACAGGCTCCGTATCAACTAGCTCACAGGGCCCAGTTGAGGCAGAAAGATGCCCACATCTGGGACAGTACTAGAACCAGAACTGGAATTGGAACTAGAACTGATGCGACCCGTACTAAGGGCCTGGCTCAGCTTCCCACCAGCTTGCCCTGCATCACACAGGGCACCTTGATGTACCTCTCTTGGGTTCTTCCATCCGGGTCAGCTTGGCAGAGGGTGGGGTGGCAAACTCATCTTCTGTCCCATATGGACCCCGTTTCAGAGTGGATCTGTGGGCAAGAACCCAGAACAGTCAGGTACTGCAACCTCACTGAACTGTGGACACACAACTCTTGTGCGTGGCTCTGGGAATTTTTTTTTTTTGGGGGGGTTGTTTTTCAGACAGAATCTATATAGCCCAGGCTGGCCAGGAAACTGGTGATCTTCCTGCCTCAGCCTCCCCACGGTTGAGTTGACAGACATGCACCACCATACTGGGCTCCAGAAAGGACATTGTGAAGTAGAAAACCAGAATGAGATTGAGGGTCAGAGGATGAAAGGCACTGATGGTGCCTTTCCACCCCAGGAAATGGGCTCAGGGTTGGCAGCTGATTCTTTATGGCTCAGGAAAGAACTAGTTCTTTGGAGTTGGGCTTGGTGTTGCATGCTTGTGGTCCCAACATTCGGGAGGCTGAAACAGGAGGACTGCTGTGAGTGTGAGGTCAGCCAGGACTACATAGTGAGACCCTGTCTCAATCAAAAAACAACAACAAAAAGAAGTTCTTTGTATTGTACTTAATTTGTCTGTAAGGTGGAGATTGTCTCAAAAACAAAAACAAAGAACAAAAACAAAAAAAGATACAAAAAACCCCCAAACCAAACCAAAACAAAACAAAACAAAAAAAAACCCAAACAAACAAAAAAACCAAACAAACCATTGCCCAGCAAGTCTGAGGTCAGCCAGAGCTACATAGAGAACTATAGTCCAGGATGACCATATAGCGAGACCCTGTCTTAAAAGATCAAAAGGAAGGGAAAAATAACAACAACAACAACACACAACAAACAAACCAAAAGATAAAGCTTACCCTTCGCCCTCCAGTTCTTCTGAGGCAATGGAAAGAACCTAAAGTAAAAACATAGATTGCTTTTTAAATATGTTTTAAATATCTCAGGCCACATTCCTAAGTGAGAAAATAATTCTAGATCGGGCCACTTTACCCCCACACTTGGGGGACCTGTGACCTTCACACTAAGTCACATCCCCAGCCCTTTATTATTTATAATTTGAAGTCAGGCTCTCACTAAGTTGCCCAGACTGGGTTCTAACTGGCTTCCAACTTGCAACTCTCCTGTCTCAGCCTCCCAGAGCGCCAGGTTGACCTGTGTGTGCTGCCCTGGTGTTACAGTGTGTGTCTAGGTGTCCCCCCAAAGCTTCCTGCAGTCATTGGGTAGCTTCTAGAGTTTGTGATTATTGGGGGTGTGGACACTGCCCCTGCCCTGGGGCAGGTAATCTGCATTACAATGTGAGGAGAGGAGAGAGGCTGGCTAGCTGCCTGAGCTGCTGCTACTCCCTTTTGCACTCTGCTCTTTGCCACCATGAAAGGTGGTTCTCTGCCATGTGCCATTCTGCCTTGGAGCCAGCTGAGTATGGACTGAAACCTCCACTAACTATGAGCTAAATAAACCCTTTCTTCCTTCATTTTGGGTGTTGGGTATTTGTCCCAGCAATGAGAGAAGAGTAACCGAGACACCTGGCCAGCCAGGGATCTGTTTTGGTTGCCTCCCCTTGGCCGGGACCTACATGCACGCCACGCTGCAGGTTGGCGAAGTGCACATCAGGGATGAAGAGCACAGGCTGCGTGTCCAGGTCCAGGAAGGGCTTGAAGACCGTGATGTCCATGCGCTTGTGCGAGGGGAGCAGCGGCACCTTCACGTCAGACACTGAAAGGGGAAAGGGGCAGGCACGTGGGCATGTCACACACTGCACCTTCTGCTAAGGCATGTGGCCTGTGCTAAGAAAAATTACAGCGCAGGGATGGGAATGTGAGGCTTTGCTGGTAAAATCCACTGGCCATCTTATCCAGATGGCCAGAACGAGACATCTTTAAACACACAGGCACACAGAAGATATTGAACACGGGGAAAGCCTATTGAGTTTCTGCCTGAAAGGCCAAAACTGATTGGAAGAGCTTGGAATTTGGAAGTCTGAGGTGGATCAAACAATCAGTGAATGTTAAAGAAGTTAAAGTAAAAGGCATGTGGCCATAAACCCTCCTCAAAATCCTCCCTTGCTTCAAACACTTGTCCCATTGTCCTTGCCCCTTTCTGCAGCAGCTCTGGAGGTCTCTTTCCTGAGGGTATTTACCAGGTAGGACTAAAACTACAGTGACTGCTGCCACCGAGCGCCAGTGGAAAGGCAGCTTGGAAATGGGACGCTGTGTCCTCATTCTCCAGATTGGAACTGTGTGACGGATTCCCAGCTTCTCCCTAAAGCCACTATGACCATGAAAAGGAGACATTTTGAACCCATTCAGGGCATGGAGGCAGCCAGGATAGTGCAGCCAAAGGCACTCAGGAAAGGACTCCAGAACTACTGCAGGGGGCAGCAAGGACGGAGGGATGAGAGTGCAGGATCTGAGGCGGGACTGTGAGGGGGCTCGTGGCAATGGGGCTCCCTGTAATAAGTCTTATTTGTTTGTTTTGGGCTTTGTCTTATTGATGCAGGGTCTCGCTATGCAGTTCAGACTGGCCTGGAGTTGATCCTCCTGCATCCGCATCCCCAGTGCTGGGATTACAGGTGTGCGCCACCACGCCTGGCTTGTAACACTTCAAAAATGTCATTCCTCACTGTGCATTTTTCCTTCTGACTCAGTGTCTGCATGAGCTTCACACCTATCTGCACTTGGCATTCACAAGTGGGCAGAACCAGCACTTTAACTCAGGACCATAGAGCTTTTGGGCCTGTCACCCTGCAAAACAGTGTCCTGGATGCTGCTGCCCTCATGGGACCCTGAGGTTGCCCTAAGCAGTACTCCTGTCCTTGAGGCTGGTGATAGCCAGAGTTTCATGACTATGTCAGTCACACTAAGAAAACAGCTTCCCTAGGGGAGCACATGACTGCCATAAGCAAATGATCCCCCCTTGGAGCCATGACCTCCGAACTCTCCCGGCATCACTGTGATGTCTACAAATCCAGAGGTCTCACTGCAAGCAGCTGCAGTGAGGAACGTGTGTCCCTAGGACCTTGGCAAGCTGTGCTCCAGGAAGTCACCTGGTCCCCAGCACAGCTGCCACAGGAGGGGGCCACCCAGAGAACAGGGAGGGGCCATGGCCTCCGACAGGCCCCAGGGCGTGTGCACTTGCCTTTCCTCTTGCTTTGCTTTCTCTCTTCATCTCTGATTTTCCGCTCGGCTCCCTGCAGGCAAAGGGAATAGGACAGGGTTCTGTGGCTGACCCCTGAGCACCGGGAAGAGTCTGCGGTCTGGAAAGGCACTGTCATGGTGTCCCTGGGCCCTCCATGGTGCTCCCCCCACACATGCTCATCCTCAAGTTACCTCTTGTTCTGAAACCGGTCACCGGGAACAAGGGTCATTTTCTTTCATTCATGTTTTGCCCTAGGATTGATTCCCAGGGCCTCTGCACCAAGCTATATCCCCAGACCCCCCTCTTTTTTTTTTTTAATTTTTCAGATGGGCCTCACTAGCCAGGTTGCCCAGGCTGGGCTTGAACTCATGATCCTCCTGCCTCAGCTCCCCCAGAGTGCTGGCATGACCAGCATGCACAGTCCAGTGGTGTTGACTTTGAGCTCCTCTGGGACCGCCCCTTGCTCTGCGAGTCACTGCTCATCCATAGCTCTGCTGGGCAAGAGACAGCGTCTGTCCTCCAGCCAGCCATGCCCAGGAGAGGGGCTGGGGATGAAGCCCCATCTACTGCTCTGGCTTTGTCACGAAGGCCATAGCAATCAACCCCTAACAGTGCAGCCACACACACTTGCCGCGGCCTCACCTTGTCACAGAAGACCTTGATCTGGCAGTAGGCACGGTGCACTGGCTTGTTGCTGCGGTTGTTGTAGCTGTAGGTGTCGATCTGGATGTTGAGTGGCAGCCCCTTGACACCCTTTTGTGAGGAAAAGTCAGTGCTCAGGCAGTTCACGGAGATGAAGACCTGCAGAGAGAAAGCGCCATGAGCCCCATTTCCAGATGGAGCATGGGAGCTACCGACCAGGCAAGGGAGCATAGCATGCCATCCCAGCAATCAGGAGGCAGGAGGACCACTGAGCTTGGCACCAGCCTGGGCTGTACCGTGAGTTCAAGGCCAGCTATACAACACAGTGAGGCCCTGTCTCAAGAACATGAAGGAAAGACATGGAGAAGCGCTGTCAGCTCCCTCCCAGGGTAGCTCTTAGCATCAGGAAGGTTGGGCTGTGGATACTGCTGTTATCACCATCAATGTCACCACAGTGGCCCTCAGCACGACCTGGAACCACACTGTAAATATCGCAGGGTTTTGAGCTCTACACACCTGGTCAACAGGAAGACGGAATGGTAAAACCTATTCTGGGGACTTTAATAGTTAGTGATCACAAAACATGGCCACATCCCTCACTCCTGGAAGGAAGCTCCAGGAATTTGGTGGAAATGGCCTGAGATGCCAGGATTTCCGCCCATGACAGAAAAGACCAGCTCAATGTCTATGCCATGAACTGGCTCATAGTCACCACATACAGATCTGGAAGGCTGAGGCAGGAGGATCACAAGTTGGCGCCCAACCCGGGCAATCTAGAGACTTAGCGAGACGCCCAGCATAAGATAACCCAGAAGAAGATCCTGGGTTCAAGTCCCAGGACCAAAACCATAAACAAAACACAGGCCTCGAAGCTGTCCAGTGGCTTCACAGGTCTGTTGTCTTTCATGGCACCTGAGCAGCCAACCCACAGCACAACTTGGGAAGACCCATGGCACTGGGGTAGCTACAACCCACACTGGCTGGAAAGCCCCATCTCACCTGGTCCCTACCTCTGCCAGGTGGGCACTGCTATCCTGACACGGGGGCTGCTGCTCAGCGAAGCCAAGAAGGGTGACACACTGGTTCATGGTTCCTGCTGTGTTATGATAGGAACTTTAACTGGTTTACATCTCTGGTCCCAGTACTGAGAACCTGGGCTCAGAATTTAAAACTTCCTTGTGCATGAGCACCATCTCGTGGACAGAGCTGGAATCACACTTTAAAGTGAAGGCGAGTACTTTTACATTACAGGATCCTACAGCGTGGCCACCAGCAGCACTAGGTTTTGCCAGGTGGACTCAGACGAGGACAGAGAAGCTTAGGGTACAAAGGGAGAAAATCCCATATATAATGTTAAGTGAAGGGGAAAATAACTGGGAAAGATAAACCCTAAACCATGACAACACTCTAGACAACATGAAAAATGTGCAGTGTTTCCTCTTTGTACTGTTTCCAAACAGGAAAGACCAAGACTGAGCTGCTACTCTTCTCCTTCTTCTCCTTCTCCTTCTTCTTCTTTTTTTTTTTTTTTTTTTTTTGTGGTACCAGGCATTGAACTCAGGGCCTTGCGCTTAGCAGGTAAGTGCTTATTTTACTGAGCTATTTTCCCGGCCCCTTGAGCTGTTGTGCTGGAGATTGCAGTACTCCGGAGGCCGAGGCAGGAGGGTTGCTGGGGTTCAAGGTCAGCCTGGGTTACACCGTGAGCTCAAGGCCAGGGACGGATCCCAGCGTGCAGGCCCTCAGTTCAGTCCCCAGTACTAAAGAGTACAAACACTCTTACATGCATTTAATATGCATCCTGCCGGGGCTACTTAATTAAAAAAAATATTTTTACAGAGGTGCAGCCCTATGAAATAAGATTTTTTGTTTTTTTTGAGATAGGGTCTTGCTATGCAGTCCAGGCTGGCCTTGAGTTCACGATGTGATCCAGGCTGCCCTCAAACTTGGGGTGATCCTCCTGCCTTAGCTTCCTATGCACTGAGTTTACAGGCCCATGCCACCACACATGGCTTCTGTTTTAAGACCCAGGATGGGTTCTGTCCCTGAGAGACAGTGGGCCAGGTAAACCTATGTTCAGCCACCCTCGCCTCTGCGGATGCCGCGACGGAACACACTTTCATGCCACTCCCAGAAGCACAGGGAAGAGGCAGGAAGCCTGCTTTGGAGCTGATGAGGCTGCACACACAGCTCCCTTCCTCGGAGCCTGCTTTGGAGCTGATGAGGCTGCACACACAGCTCCCTTCCTCGGAGTGGCACGAGGACCTTGCCAGTTGGACCTCAGCCAGGTGTTGTGGCTCAAGCTGGAAACTGCAACACTCAGCAGGCTGAGGCAGGAGGATCATTGCAAGATCAAGACCAGCCTGGGCTACAATGTGAGATCTTGTCTCAAAGCAGTAATAACCCAAACAGAATGCGACGGGACTTTAAAAAGCGACGTCTTGTGCGCTTTTGCATTTCCTTGCTCCTTACCATGAGGGAAAGCAGGCTGTTATTCCATGACCTGTAAAGATGAGCTCCTGATGTCCCACCCACAATTACTAGAGGAAGGAAAAAATATTAACCACAAAATAAACTGCTAAACAGGCCAAAGATGCCCTGCAAGATTCTTCTTAAACGTCCAGCCCATTTTTCTGGGGACAGTTCCTCATTCTTGGTTAAGAATTCATGCACTTAGAATCTTTTTGAAGATTTAATTTTGTTCGTGAGCCTCAGTTCAAAAATAAGAGGAAACAAAGTGGATCATCGGAGGAATGACTTGGATGCAGATTAGTATTATTGTATTTTGGTGGCAGCAGGGATTGAACCCAGGTCCTTCACGTTGAGCTGCATCCTCAGACCTTTTTTATTTTGAGGCAGGATCTCACTAAGTCACTGAGTTGTCCAGGCTGGGCTCAAACCTCCTGCCTCAGCCTCCCAGAATGCTGGGATGACAGGGGTGTACCACCGCACCACCAAGCACAGAGAGCAAGAGGAATCGGGTCCTAAGCTGACGTGTAAACATTTTCCAGAAGTGCTATGGCAGCTGCATGATGCTGCCCAGTTGTGCTTCTCCCACGTTGGTCCACAAGGAAAAAAGGATGAGAAAGGCACAGGAGGCAGGACGCTGGCCACAGAGGTGGCCACCAGAGGGCCAGTTCCCAGAAGGGAGCAACAGAAGCAACTGGAAATCATTTTGGGGAGGGTAGGGTTTGAGAAAGGGTCTCACTGTGCAGTCCAGGGTGGCCTCAAACTCACTCTGGAGCCCAGGCTGGCTTCCCACTCCTGGGTCTTCTCCTGCTTCAGCCTCCTAAGAGCTGCTAATGCAGCTCTGAGCCACCATTCCTGGCCAAGAAAATGCAGCTAAGAAAGAATTTTTATTTGGCGATTAAGTAAAGGTTAAGCTTTCACTTGTAGCTTCCTATTGTGTATACAGATGGGGTCTTGTCTGTAACCCTCCTAGCTCCAGTGTGACCTTGAGGTTTCTTCCTGCTCTAACTAGTGGCCAGGTCCTGGAATGTCAGAGCCCCTCTTCCAAATAAGCTGTTTTATTGCCTCTTTCCCACCTAAATTCACAAGAGCCACTCTGTATGGGGAAGGCCAGCCGG